TTTTTTTATATTTTTGGGGAACATCTCTGTTTATGTTTTTAGAACCTTGGATGTAAGAGTATAATGTTTTTTTTTGGGAATATTTCTAGTGTGTGTGTGCCTCTAAAACATTTGGGGTTTTTTGGACTCACTGATCTTTATTTATTTTGTTTTATTTATTTATTTGTTTGTGAACATGAATATCTGCTGTGGTCATTCATCATAACTGCATTGTTGACTTTAATCTTTTCTTGTGCTAAAGAATTAAATAAGGGTAATGACAGTAAAGCCTTACAGCAGACAAAACAAATGCAAAAGCATCGTCTTTCTGTGATGTTTCTGCTTTTTTTTCTATTTGTGCAGTTTCTGAACAACTCTTTGCTAAAAGCAGTATCCAATAAATTATAGATGGCGATAAACATCAGATTTCATCCAAATGTTGTCTTTCTTTTTGTGTGCGTGTCTGTGTGTGTTTGAGTACCTCTACACAGATGCATCCAATACATCACAAAGATGTTTCATAATATATATTTAATGCTGCTTGAACCCTCCAAGTGATGTCAGCATATCTGAGCACTTAGCCAGCTCCATTAGTTGTGTTTTGTGTCCCATTAGTCCGTAAATGTGTCACACCTGCAAAGAGGGGATTATAATCCTGACAGCAGCCCTGTGCAACAGCTATAAAATCCCCGTCTGGCTAATGCACCACATGCTAACAAGGCAAACACAGAGGTGAGGTCTTCAGAAGTTTGTTAAATGTTTATTATCAGAATCAGCCTTCTTATTAATTAAAGCCTAAATTATTGTTTATTAGTAGTTGGTGATGCTTTGTGCCATGGAAGTCTTGAATCTGGGAGCCGCAGAGCTGTGAGTGAACTGGTGTGACATTAGTGTGTTTTTATTACATATTTGGCTTCCCCTGCAGTTTTAATGAAGGCGAGCAGCAGAGTTGTGGTGCAGGTGTTGTTGTTGGCATTGGTGGCCCAGGTCGCCGTGTGCCAGCACTGGTCCTATGGATGGCTACCAGGTGGGAAGAGAAGCGTGGGAGAGCTCGAGGCGACCATCAGGGTGAGTGATTATTTTATAAGGAGTTTCAGTTACAGGAAATGTGCTCATTTTATTAAATTAAAGGTGAAACTGAACAGAAATAGCTCTATGGAGTTGCTTCATGCTGCCTGATGTAATTAATGTTTTCTTTTAAAAAAAGAGGAAAAGAAATCATCAGAGCAAAAAAATATACAAATTGATATTATTATTATATTTTTTCTCTCTCTTGTTGCTTTTAGATGATGGGCACAGGAGGAGTGGTGTCTCTTCCTGAAGAGGCGAGTGCCCAAACCCAAGAGAGGCTTAGGCCATACAACGTAAGTGCTGATAATACATAATTTATCAACGATGTTTTCTTCATTTGTACAATATTAATGGAAGCTGTGCCACTGCATCCGCCGTGTTCCAAAATGGCAATGACAATCTACAAACTGTTTTTATTTTTCTGCTTTTGCATGACTGATTATGTGCATGATTAATTGTATCTGTTTGAGCGATGGCAGCTGTAATGCTAGCTGTGATGACTTCGCTTAGTTATCTTATTGGCATGAATTTTAATATCAATTTCACATTCAATTTCCCACTATGAAAAGAAAAAACGAGTCATCAAAATCTGGAATTATTAATTAATGTCTCATTTTAATTTCTTCAGATTAATGAGGATTCCAGTCATTTTGACAGGAAAGTTTGGAAAAAGACTCTGGAATAAACAAGGGGCAACAAAAAACAGAAGATGGACTTTATTGTGTTCTCTATAAGGATTACACAGATGCCAGATGCATGTCTTTAACCCTTGAATTCCTTGGAAATTGTAATAAAGTTTTCAATCCTCTAGTCCTCCCATGTTTTATTTAATTTGACTGGTGAAATATCTGTCTGTATTTTAGAGATTAAACAGATGAAACTGCCTTTGTAAAGCAGCCCCGACCGACAAGCATGACAAACTCATGACACAACTGTCTTAGCGTGACAACAGCTGGTGATTAAGGCAATTTATTAGAAATCAATGACCTAATTGAATTTGTTACACTTTTGGTAATTCCATTTTCTGCCACGCCAGTCATGTGAATATGCAATGTTGAACAATTACACCTGCTGATTTCTGCGCTCGCATTTCTAACTGTTGATTAAACAGAAAACACAGCAAACTTATTTCTGCCTGCAATGACCAGACATGCCCCCACTAATTTAGAGGTAAATGCAGTCATCCAAAACAAGACAAAGGGAGTATAACTTTATGTTTTGTTTTCGGGTTTTTTTCCCTCCCCTCTGTGTATGAAATTGGTGTTCATTATAAAAATTGGAATTTCATATCGGGAACGGAAAAGAATCAGCAGGGGGGCATATGTTTTAAAGAGAACTCATTTTCTGGCAAAACCCTACAGACGGAGCACCATACTAATCGCCTGGTGCATAAGGGGCCAGGATTCATGAACTGTGCTGACACCTGGGAGGCCCCGCATTGTTAGAGCGTGGTTGTAATGCACACCAATGAACTCAAACCCGCTGGCACAACTGGGAAAAGGTTAACATTATAAGAGCACATAGAATTAAAGAGAAATTAAACCACATTCCAGCGCACTTCCAGAACAATACTTGTTCATTTGTGATACTTCGCCTCATTGCTTTAATATTCACGCTCCTAATTTCCATAACACAATCGCTTTAATTGATGAGGAAAGACGCCGCATTTATTTGGAAAGTCTTACGTTCTACTTTAACCTCTTTTCCAAAGTTAGACGGGGAAATTGTTGTCCAGGGCATTTTCTTTTAAAAGTCACAAAGAGTTTAAACTTTCCTTCCCAGGCTGCTCAATAATTTTAGAACGCTTTCTTAAAAAAGATAATTATGCCTTCACAGCCGTTTTCTAAAATATGGTTTTAATTCAATTTGGTATACTTTGGTGAGAATAATTAATGTTTACAGATAAAAGCACAAATCCCATAAATTCCTTTAAAAAAACCTAAGCGTTTGTTGTTAAAGCCAACTTTCTCCCTCCCAGTGTCCTCATCAAGGACCTGCTTAATTGCACGTATATCAGGACAACAAAACCTGCTGGTATCTGTGTTTCCAAATTTGATTTAACCTCACTTTCTCCTTCCCAGACCCCCTGGTGGATATTCACTTTGTTTACCTCAAATTAAACTTCATATTGTTTACAGCCTCTTGGTCCCTGAACATTTTATAGCCTTTTAGAATTATTTCTTTATTTATTTTTTGTAATGATTGTAGAGTTGGGATTCATTTGAATGTTTCCCTCATCTGCATGAAAATTATATAATTAACTTTTGATTAACCAGCTCAGTTGAGTTGGTTCCCCCATGCACACTGGTGAATAGTACCAACCGCATTTTAATGACTGTTTTCCAATTGAGTGGCGACCTTTTCATCAAAGAGCCACAACTGGGGCTAAACAACGGATAGAAAATAATCACGCTGAAAACAATGGTGGAGGCCGACGGGCTAGGATGTCATCCTTAAATATAACAACAAAGATGAAAGCAACCTCGCTGCGTGGCGTGGCGGTGGAGAGAAGCCAAGCGCTTGTGCTTGGATGCCCCATTGTGAAAACCGTGGAGGTCACGTCCATTGGCATAGACATGGAAAGGACAGGAAGCTGAGAATGGCCCATTGTTACATGTCCTTGCTCAGAGGGATTTCCATTATGAGGGGCAATGCATTTTGATACTTTGATTTTTTTTTTCGGTGTGTGTGCTATTCATTTACTTAAAAAAAACAGAACATATTTGGATAATGGCTCCAGGAAAAAAAAAAAAAGGGTCTCAGAGCTCCTCCATCCAAGGCTACAGCACAACACCAACACACACGCCAATCAAGCACGTCCGAGCAGATGTGCATCCTCCCACCGCCCGTCTTCAAATGAGCGTTCGATCACATGCATAATATAGTTTTCATTCCATCACTGTTATGCTCGTTGCAACTGTGTGCATTTTTTTTTTCCAGTTGGGTCAGAGGAAACTTTTATTGAAGCGGAGAGCGTAATAAAGTCATTTTCCAGGTGCTTGTTGTGACTCTTATTACGAACAGAATGATAATTTCCCCTGGAGGAATCTGGCGCTGCATTTCAATTGAAGTTAAGTGTGGGTCTTACTATGTTCCCGCAGGCAATAGTAGAAGGCAAAGTCATCTTCAGAGAGAGTCTAAATGTCAGGGAGGTCTTCAAACAGTTTTTCCCCCCACTCTCTCAGCCTTACTGAAAGGGATCTTTGGAAGCGCAGTGTCTTGGAATTGGACGCAAGGTAGACAAGCAGGTTGAGGGTTTAACATGGGCAGTGGATGTTCAATTTACTATGTGAATATAGATAAATCTAAAGTAATAAAAATGATAGTCCCAATTTGGGTGGCATCGTGGTGCAGTGGAAAGAGCTATCAGCTCTGAACGAGGAGAGCAGGATTGCCTCCCAGTCTGGGGCCTTTCTGGGTGGAGTTTGTGTATTCTCCCTGTGCACCAGTGGGTTCTCTCCAGGTACTCTGGTTTCCTCCCACATACAAATTTTAGGCTAATTGATAACTCTTAATTGTCCTTAATTTATTCCTTAAATGTGAAAGATTTTTTTTTTTTTTTTGTATTTATGTGTGCCTGTGATGGACTTGCGTCTTATTGTTTTCCTCGCCTCTCGTACAGTGATTGCTGTATAGGCACCAGCTTCCCATGACACAATTAGGAAAAGCAGGTAAAGCAAATACATAGTCTGACTTTTCTAGAGCTGTGCTCTTAGTTAAAGGAATTGTTCAGACAGCTGCTCAGTACATCTTCTGCCATATCGTCCCATCTCCACATGGTGACACTCTTGAGCTGCGTGTTTTGAATCCACTCCAGCGAACAGCCTCTCAGCAATTCCAGTTACGGAAACTGTTATCTCTTTAAAATCCAACAAAGACTTCAATCATTTACATCAAACTTTGGAACTCATTCCTAATTTTCTTCTGCATACTGACTCGTAAGATTTTCTAATTTTAAAGACAAGAAAATAATTTAGCAAAAGAGCTTTACATGTTTTTAACTTAGATGACTGCAAAATAATGATAATTTGCAAAAGTCTCTTGTTTCATTTTGTTTTGCATTTATTTAATAATTTTATTTTATTTATTTATTTTTTATAAAGGCCATATTGAAGCGCTGATATCTATACGGTAACGTGTACAGTAGTGAATTGGCCTTCCTTCTCCTTCTTGGCTGGCAGGGAACCTTCCTGTTGTGATCCGACTTCTCCTCTTTGATCAAAGAACAGTGTTAAAGCACTGGGAGAAGGAGGAGGTATGAAATATGAATGAATACAGCTGTGTTTTGATGGATATGTCTCAAAGTATCCCAGTAAGAGACTGCTAAAGGCCAGGAAATCTGTTTGTGTTGTGGAAATAGGCTCTTCCTCGCTCGTTTCTTTACCAGCTTCATCTTGGGTAGCTTTTCACTTCATATTTTAGAGATCCTCTTGTTGGGGAAAAGATCAACCCCTTACTTGTGCATTTATAGAAAACCGTTCTAAAAGGCCCTAGTTCATAATACATACCATTAATGACACCCTTTCCTTTGTTTGGTCATGAAAACACCTTTTGAACAAAATGAAAGGCTTTGCGAGAGGAGGATATTTATTATTTTTCTAGGGTAGACCTCCTAAAGTTCTCACAGACAGAATGAGATCTTATGTTAGGTGATGGAGGCTTTGTCACTAGTTATGTGTCTGATTCCTTTTTGCTTTTCTAAAGCCCCAACAGGGAGCCATGACTCATTTTGAAGTTGGAAGACGATACTGCGGTGTAAAACTAGCATTCCCGCATGAATTTAGAAACGATCAGAGCTCACAAAAATTTCTGATTCTGAGACTTAGATAAACTCGCCTTTCAAATTGCACTTCTTTAATAAACAATGCTAATAAAAAGAGGCGCTCATAAAAAATACAGTTATTGAGAGAGGTTCCAAAATGGCAATTGGTGTCTGCCTAAATAAATTTTACAACACGTTGTGGCTCAACGGCTTTATTAAAAGTTATTTAGAGACTGTTTTTAATCAACTCGGGATAACATTAAAAAAAATTAATTTAAAAAATCCGGTATTGGATTTGGAGAAGGACAGTGTCTCCAGACCACTGCAGGTCAAAACTTTCTGCTTGGGCTTTATTAGCCTCACTAATAGCTGGGTTCCCCAAATGACAGGGTCCAGCTCTGCTGGGAGCAGGGGGCTCAGATCTCGTCAGAGAGGGGTCGCACTAACCAACTGTAATCTTTAGGGTACTCCACTCCTGCTGACCCACATCTAACGCTGGTTCCATCCCTCCTGCTTACCCCCAACCGTTCTCCTTTCCCTCCCCAATCTGGCCTACCCAACCCACGTCAGTTACGCCACCCTTTGCTCTCCCTCCCACATCTTACCACCCTTGTGYGATAGAAATTCCCCCCCACCCTCCTCACCCAATCCAGCTCTTGCTTGTTCCATCTCAGTCCGGCTGGCCGCAGCGAGGAGCACGCCTTATCCTGTGGTAACGGCAATTAGTGGARTAAAGCAAGCTGTGGAGAAGACTGGATCCCCGTCCACGTTTCAACCCCAGATCACGAGTCTCCAGCAAGACTTCAAGGCGAACCGTGCAATTAGCTACAATAATGATAATGTGTTGTAGGGGAACAAAGGGTGGGTAAAACAGACCACTGTTGTGAGGCAGAGTGGGGTGCTAATAGTAGGGGGGGTTATTTGAATGCCCTGGTGCAGATAGGAGACCAAATCAAACTGATTATCAAACGTATGATGAATTACATTTTTCCTCTAATTACCCATGCCTTTTATGTGCAAACCAACTGGGTGAGTTTTGCATTCTAGA